CATTTAAATTTTTTTTTACAAATATGCTATATAGTATTAATCAAATTTAACTTTATTTTATTGATACATATTTGAGTTAATAAAAAGTTAAAAGTTTAGCATATTAATAACCGATACGATAATAAAAAGCTTGATATCAACAAGAACATTTATTAATACAACTTCTAAATTAATATTACTATAAAAAAATATCAGCAAGTAAAAATTTTTTAAAGCTTATGGCTGTATATTGTATAACTTCAAAATTTTATAATATATCAAATTATACTTACTATTTTTAGCAATTAATTTAAGAGTACGTACTGTACAGGAAAAAAAATATAATCTAATTCGTTTTAATTCTGTACTGATACTTATTCTCTAATAGTCAAAGTTATTTAAATAATAAAAATTATATACAATTACGATATTAATAAAATTATTCGCATTTATAAATTTCTAAACTAATTTTAGCTTGCTGTAGCCTATATATCTGACAAAATAACGTTTAATTTAGTTATAAATAGAGAATTGAAGATATAAAATCGCACGTTAATGTAGCTATAGGAAATCGCCTTACCTATTCTGTATTTATACGTATCACCGTGCTGTATTTTACTTTGTAATACGTAGCTAGCTTTTTTATACGATATTAATAAAAGTAAAAAAGAGAATGAGGTTGTATCAATTATTTATCTATTTCGGCTTCAAGATCGTTAGCCGCCGTTTTTGGAGTCGATGTTTTATTAATAGACCTGTAACCGACTGTTCAGCTCACAGTTCTACTCAAGAATCATTGCCTCTGCAACTTTTTATTGATAACAAGTTTAACAATCAAACATCAACTAAATAACAAACAACTATACAATTATTATAATTCGATTAGTTGAATCACGAAGTTCGGTGGGATTCAGTCACAAAGACTGAAAAAAGCGTGACTCCCGTTAAGATACTTTTATATTTTTGAAATTCATATTATTTATTAATATCGAATTTCAGCACAAAAATTTTTCTTTTGAATAACATCCCGGTAGTTATTTATCTCAAATAAAACATTAAGGTATCAATCAAATGTTCGAGTTATGTCATACAGCTTGAAAACCATCAGGTGTACCTGCAGCCGGTTTTTGATTAATATCATTTATGTATGCACTATGTGTTTCTGACCAAATATATTTATGTTGTAATAATTTTTGAATTCTACTGTATGCTTCCACATTTGCATATGGTATACCAGTTTTAGAATCTTTATATTTTGCAATAAGTCCAGTAAAAGGGCATAATACTTTTTTCGCCCCTATTAAAATTTGATGACAAAATTAGTTTATTTAAATATGCGAAAAAGAACATAAGCAAAACTTACTTTGTGGTTTCTTTTTCCATTCTTGAAATAGCTTAGCTTCTTCTACTTTTGAGAACTGAGAAAATATAAGTAAATTCTTTACTTCTCTTTTATCTTGATTTTCATTTTCTACATTGTTCATTGTACAATCTAAATCCTTTGTATCTGTTATATTGCTTTTTCCTTCATCTACTGAATGTTCCGTTATTAATTTAGGCCTTTTGGCCTCTCTGTTATCACCAACAACATAAGATATTTCTCGGATAAAAGGCCCATTCATAACAACTTTTTTTGATTGTTTTGCAGACATTTTTTTTTCAGCCTCCCTTAATTCAAACGCACGAAGTGAAGCTAAATTTTTTTCCTCTGTTTCTTTAGCTTCGGCAAGTAATTCTTCCTGAGTTTTGCGATGAACAATCACTTTTTCACGCTTTGGATGTGCTGCCTACATTAAAATAAACTACCATAGTAAACAAATAACATATAAATGTGTATATAAATTAAAAAATAAAATAAAACCTTTTTTTTTTCGTACTCCTTCAATTTCTCTGCTAACATCTGTTTACTTTGTACTGTGAGGGAACGAGACGATGATCTAACACCATGCAAAAGTGGTGCTATAAATGAAAATTTTAAATATATATATTTATGCATACATGTTATGAATTACTAAAAACATACTTGTATTGGAAGACTTCTTTTTCTTATCAGATATAATATTTGGAGATTCGTCGTTAACACTTTGATCTGGAATAGTTTCAGATGCTACTGGAACTTTATCAGTATCCTTTTTTTTTAACCGCGAAGCTGGATTTAGAAATGGTAAATTTGATTTTTTCGATCTCTAAACATATAAAATACATATGTTAAAAAATGCAAATTCACGAATATTAATTTCTGAAAATAATTATTAAATTCTGCATACTTTCTTTTCCAGCTTTTCTTCCAGTAGTATTTGTAATTCAGCTGTATCGTCATTATCCTCCGGTCCACTGCTATTTTGATCAAAATCGGAATCAAAACAATCTTCCTCTTCTATAAATTCAATTAAAATGAGCTGTGAATAATTCAATCTAACTACCAAAAATTATACCTTACCTTTAGTAACCATAAAATCAGCATCTTCAGATACCTCTTTAAACATGTCTTCTAATTCCATTTCTTTTTCGATAAGCTCTCTCATTCTTCGAGTCGATTAATGTTCATTCGATGATAATGCAAGTATTAAAAAAATAATAATAAACATAATAAAAGCCATAATTTAAAGCAACTTACCGTGCGCCCGCATTCGCACGACGTTCTCTTGTTGCAACCAGTGACATTTTGCTAATGTTAGTGGTATGTTCTTAATTATTGATCAAGTCTATGTTATTAAAAAATGCGGCTTAGCCAACTAAATACTGTACAGAAGTAATTAAGATCGGGAGAACTTCCATATGATTGGCTAATTTACGTCGATCTAACCAAATAAGAACAGATAAAAATTGGTATTATAAATTATATATATAGTTTTATACGTAGGAAAGTTGTTTTATATAACAGATATATAGTTTCTAATTGAAGTTCGTTGGATTGGTTAGTTTTAGAGTCGAGATTTATATAAATCGATAAATAAACACAAAAAATTAATATCTACTACGTTTGAAAAAACAGATGCGTGTGGAGTAGGATATAAACTTTTCGTTTTCTAGTAGTATCAAACTATACCGCAGAACGTATATAGTTATTTAAATTTTCTTATATCTCGTGACCAAATTGAATCAGATCTTGAAAAAAAAAGTTATCTATCCAATAAACGACACCGAATTATTTAAGGATGCATCATGAAAATTTATACTTCCTCTTTCAATTCCACTTCGTCTTAAACACACGTCCGCATTATGGTGATATGTCGATTTGATATTTTACATTATCTAAAGGCTTATTTAGATCTAAAAGTATATGAAGTTGAATGACCGATAAAATTTTTTTATTATACCTTGATTCATTTCAGAGCAGTGCTTTCAAACGTTTTGTCGAAGTTGGTCGAGTAGTTTTCATTAACTACGGTGAAGATGCGGGCAAGCTCGCTGTTATCGTTGACATAATCGATCATAATAGGGTATGTTTCATTATTATCATTCTCAAAAATGTTTAAAAAGAGCTACAATTAATACTTGTTCTAGATCAAATGTACTAACGTATTAATAATTCTAATCAAACTCTTTGAAAATGGTAGGCCCTTATCGATGGTCCAACCACCGGTGTTGCCCGTCATTCTCATGCATTCCGTCGTCTAACCCTTACTGATCTTGTAATTAAAGGCTTTCCTAGAGGCAGTCGTTCATCTATAGTAAGGAAATATTTCGAAAAAGAAGAAATCTTAGAGAAGTGGAACCAGTCAGCATGGGCAAAGAAATTGGATAATCGTAGGAAAAAAGCTGCCTTGACAGACTTTGATAGATTTAAATTATTGAAGTTAAAGAAACAGGTAAATCTGTGTGTATTATACTCGTTCAGAGTATTTTAGAATGTCAAATTAAATTTTCTATTTTAATACAATTTCTTGAATAGCGTCGTCGCGTTGTCCAAGTAGAACTTGCTTCCCTTAAAAAAAATAAAAAATAAGCATAATCTTAATGAACATGACGGTTCTTAGGTAGAAATTGGTTTCCATCAACATTTACTCTGGTTTAATATTTAACCGACTTTCATACTTGGTTTGACATGTTATTAATTCAAATATTTTTGATCAAAATAAAATATTAGTAGTGTTGAATTTCTATCATGTAGGCTTTTCTCAAAGTGAAAGTTGCATACACTATAAAACAAAATCTGCGATGTATTCGTATTTATTATCAATGTACTATCTGATAAAGTTTATAGGCAGTGGAAATTATAGAACGTGGAACATTAAATACAGTTATAACTTAAATTAAAGCTTATTAGATAAATCATTAGAATAAAATTGATCGTTCTACTAATAATTAGACATAGTATATCGCTTCTTAAATGAAATACATCGTATTATCTAAAAAAGGGAAATTAACATTTATGCGATTACTAAAACCGACTCTTATGATTTAGTCCAACATCAAGATTCAAATTTATATTTCAAATTATCATGAAATGAGTGTCGACAAGCGAAAACAGGGAATCGTGAATTTTCCGAAATTAATTTTACAGATCAAACCCCGAAAAATGTAATTTAAAACACCATATAATTTATGTTGTGCTTAATTTAAGTTCATCAGTGATCAGATCAGTAAGCGGAATTTCCAAAATCAAGAATTCCCTGTTTTCGCTTGTCGACACTCAAATGTTAAAAATACGTACCTTTAGCTAAGCTTTCTTTAACTTCCTTCAATACAAACTCCGTTTCACCACGCTGCTGTTGTTCCAAATGCAATCTAAACCGATAAAGATTAGCTTGACCCAGTTTAAAAACGTTTATAAAAAGCAATAGATTAATTACCGTGCGCGCTTTGCAGCTAAATGTGCGTAGTCTAAATGATTTGAAGTTTAGATTACTAAAGTAATTGTCAATCTAAAATAATAATTAATAATAATAATAATTACATGCAGCAGGCGAGATCGATACTGATCGCGTTGCACTATAATTAAATGATATAATCTAATATCAGGACAAAACCAGTATTATTTTTGTGGCAGCCGAAGCTGAAATTGGCTGATGCTGAAATCCTGACCTATTTTATCTTTTTATAGATTTTTTTTTTTTTAGTTATTATTTAAAGCTATTTCAGCATCAGCACATCAGCATAAGCTGTCACATTTTTTCAACATATAGACAATAAATGAATTCACACCGTTGATAATTGTAACAGAGTTTATTGGTTAAGTCTTGCAAACTATCGGCAGTAAATTTATTTTCGTCAAAAAGGACGTGATCTATCGAGTTAAAAACAAGTGATATTATTTTTAAGTGCTTTACCGTAAAGTTGACCAAAGTATAAGCATACATACAGTGTGCTGGTCGTGATGTTCCATGTAAACTTGAATGTGACTGTAAAACTAAAGGTATGCAAATATTTATTTTATCAGCATGTAAAAGATGAGAAATAAGCTGATCAAAAGTAAATAAACTTGCAGAAATCAAACAAATATGGATGTGTTATTTTCTGGTCAACAACCGTGCCAGCAATACAGTTTCCTTTGCTACATAATATATAAATCTTATTAAGTATATGAACTTCCTCGTTCCATTTTTTGAGATCACATTACCTGTCAGCATCGCGTTCATGCCGCGGATAAAATCGTGTATGATGTCGTTTACCGACGACTACAAAAGTTATTGGGGGCCTATAACCCTCTTCCACTTTTGTACAAGCCTCTAAACATCCATGCAAGTAAATTTATTGTATACGACATAGGGCTGTTAGACACTATTAGCACAATTTCAATAGTAGCTTGCCTTTAATCTGTTCAAGTTCATGGGTTAGCACCATTTCAAATTGACTTTCAGATACACCATCTCGGTACATGATAATCCGTCGAGGTAAAATACTATTTTTATCACGATAGTCTCTCAAAATTTCCAATACCATCCCACTCATATTTTCAATCTTTTCTTGTCTAGTTTTCTGGCTTTCAAGTTTTGGAGTAAAACGACCACCTTGGCGATCGAGTGAACCAACAACTGCACAAATAGAAGGCATATCTATAATAGTTTTAATAATGAATTTACATAAGTATTAATAACAATAACAAGTTAAGTAAACTAAAGGTTTTGTGATAAATCATACTTGAAGGACCAGCACGTCCACCGGTTGGGTGTGTGACATCGGCACCAAGCAGCAATACCGGCTCTTGTGCGAATAGGGGTAATTCGTTATCTTCAAGAGATTGATTTGTCCCTCCCAGCTTTAAATTTATTTTTAATGCAATGTTCGCGCAATATTGTTTACTTGTCTTTCCTACTTTATCAACTTGGACACATTGTGAAGGAACGCCGAGAACTGTATCTGCTGTATATTTTATTGCTCGATATCGTTTTTCATCATCGTCCGGAAGAATAAAAAGCATCAATTGAAGATCATTCTTTAGGTGATTCTTAGCGTTATTATATTCTTTTATGACAAGGTGTTGATAGGTATGTGGTTCACCATTGGGCTTGACATAGTTGACTCGTGGGTTACCTTCTGCGATATCCTAAAAAATAACGATTTACTAGGCTAAAATTATAAAAATAAAATACTATAATAAATAAACTAATTAACTACCATTCCTTGACTTCTACTTGTATTTACAAGTTCTTTTATGAATTGTTTGGCTTGCGAAAATGATAACTTTTGTTGTTGAACAAATGCAACTACCACCCAATATTGAAGTGTTTTACCGCTTCTGACAAACTTTCGATCTCGAAGGTTCCATCCACCTTCACGAGGTTTAACTGTGCCACCTGCTTTGGATGTTATATGATATGATACTTTGGGAGCTTTTAATATGCGAGCTTTATTATTAATTTATTGAAGCACAAAAAAGGCATATAATAAATTAAAATTAATTTATAAATGTAATTGAGAATACAATTTGCGGTATTACTCTCTAAACTATAAATACCTGGAATTACTGCCATTTTTTCTTCAATGCTCATTCCAAATTTCTTTAATTTAAAATCTTTTCCGAATTGCAGGACATTCTGAACACCTTCAGTAATTCTATCCATGTTGTCTTGAGGACGCAATGCAGTATGTTTAATCATATGTCCTCTTTGAGCACTAGATAGCTTTGCAACAGGAAACCGTTGACCCTTATATATATAAATAAATAAATAAATAAATATTAAATCAAAAATAACTACAATTTGATTTAAAAATAATACCTCAATAATATCGCATAATTCAATTGGAATTTTGTCATTCTTCCGACCTTCAAGCTCGACGAGATGTAAACATTTTAAATTTATGTTATATCTTCGCTGGTAATAAGAATAAATACTAATTTTTTCTTCAGAATCTGGGATATCAACCATGTTGTCGCGCGCGTTAGTGGAGCATAATCTTTTAATTTTGAATCGTGTTTTGACTTTAGGGCGATGGATGGCTTTAAATTGCAATCCATGAACAAGTTCGGAAATTTTATCCTGTTGTTGTTGAGTAAATCGATCCGGAATGTTGTCTAATTTAAGATATTTAATAATTAGAGAGTGCATGGGTCCCGGCTCGTAAAAAACAGTATAAGTAGTGTTAACATTGACAAAATAGCTATCTGTTTCGGTCAAAAACATAGAAATAAAAATTAAAATATGTTCAATAATGTAAAAAAAGCTTATTAACGACTAAATGAATATACCTTGTCCGGGCCTTACGCTTTCAAACCAACCCATCCATAATTCTACACCTCCACCCAAAGATCTACGCGTCGAAGGTAAATATGTAGATTCACCAAATTGAGTATACTTCATTGACGGCATATGATGTATTAAGGCATTAAGCCCTCTAAGGCCAGCTAGAATTTTATAAAACTGCCGAATAAGATAATAGATAAAATATTGTAGACATAGTATAGAGGCATGAAATTATTATTTAATAATCATACCTAAATCAAAATATTCCCACTTCATTTCATTTCCTTCAAGAAACTTTTTTAATTCATCTATGTCAATTTTATCAATCCTTCGAATTTCGACTTTATACTCGGAAGGATTCCCTCTGAAGTCCTGATCATCTTTTAAAGTGACCTATAGACGTGTCAATAATGAAATAAATTCGAAACAGCTATGTATATTAGTAATCGACATCCAAATATAGAGTGAAAACGCGTAATATATCGTACATCTCACCGATGTTATCCCAGAATCAGAGTTTAAATTCAAAAGATCGGTAGAATATATTGCGGTGCTCCCTATTCATAGTTGAAATAGGCGAGATAAATCGCGATCTAGTAATCTCACAAAGAATTTCACGGATATTATGTGAATGTTATCAATTGGCTTATGAAAATACCATCAAAGACGACACCAGCCCCTTTGAACCAGCCGTTACGCTCTTGCTTTTCTAATTGTTGAAATATAGCGCGTTGGACGTGAGTCGGAAGTTGTTTCAATTGTTTGGGAGCTTTTTGGCGATGAGAACCTTCTCCTCCGGGCCTTTGATGAGTTTGCAGTTTCATTGTAATCTCATATTTTTCAAAATACGCCCTATTCGCGATCTGAAGAACTTGTAAGATAACATAGAGAGTAGGTGAACTGATCATATGGTGAGTAAATTATTATGAATTACCCTTTTGATTTCAAAGTAATTAGTAATAAGTTGGGTCTGTCGTCCGAACTTGCCATAGCCAGGCCGTTTAGCCATACTCTTTATGGCCTCTTCTCTTAAGGCTTCTTGACGCATTGGACTTAACGTGTAAAGGTAAAGTTAGTGATCCTAGCCGGCCAAAAATTTTACAACCGACCAAGCCGATAAAACGTTGGATTTGAATACGTTCGTATAATAGGCTTGAATGTCTACTTACGGCAATTTCCGATATTTACATAGCCATATAAAGTCGACCAACCGATTTTTTAAAAAAAAATCGACCGACCGGGCCGAAAAATCGGCTTAGCAGAATTTTTTTAGTTATCAGCCAATATTACTTTTTTTGCAAATAATATATATATTATTCCTTTCTTGCAAAATAATTCTCTTTAAGCGAATCTAGAAATAGCGATAGTGAATAGCGGGCTTTCATCTGATTGTATAGTTATATCGATATGGGTTGATCAACGTGCATTAATATCGATAACAATATCCTACAGTAATTCTATAAATTACACTGCATGAATGGAAAGATTACTTTAGATTAAACGTATTGGCTTTGTGAAAGAAAAACGCGTAAAGTTTTGACGGTTTACGAATATCGTCATAATATTGCTATCTGATCACCCATACTACAGTATTAAAAAAAAAGAATTTTTTTAAAGAAAATCGGGAAATTCCGATTTAACGCTCACCGGAGGTGAAATTCATCGAGGTGCTATATCTCAAAAACGGACTAATAAGGGTTATATCACAAAATCCCGAAAGATATTTTCTTGAAAGAACATAATCCGACTAAATTGGCTAGCATTATAACTAGTGCCAACTAACTTTGTCGGGTTCATTCTAAAATTTTGAGATCGAAAGCACTTTTTTGAATTCTTTTGTAAGTTTACATAGCGATAGTAATCGTAAATCTTAGCAGTTATAAGACAATGCTGTTACTTATAAATCAACAAGTTGACTTATTTTATATGTAAATTTATACAAAAAAACCCATACATATAAACTTTAAATTTCAAATATATATTTTTTAGCATTTAATAATCTTTAGTTTAAAGGATTAGTTTTTAACTTCAAGTAGTTTGGATAGAACCTTTCTTTAAAGTTAATCTATCCTTTACTATATTCTTTAAGTCAAATAGCTAACTTATCCCAAGCAATAACATGATTGGTCAAATAATCTTTTAAAGATTAAAAAAGTTCTACTGTACTAAGTAAAGATTTCTTTTAACTCTAAAGCAAAAGTTGTAAAAAAAATTATTTAATCAATTATATTATTGCTTGGAATAAGTTAACTATTTAACTTAAAGAACATAGTAAAAAATCAATCAACTTTAAAAAAGATTTTATTTAAACTACTTAAAATTAAGAATTAAAACTTTAAGCAAAAATTATTAAATGCAAAAATATAAGGCAACACTCAAACTCTTTCCAATAATCACTTGGTTCAAAATTCTTACGAAAGAAAAACATAAATTTTGTTGAAGAGTCATGGCCTAACATAGTGGTTTGTCTAGAGATCAATGTTCTACTACGAGACTTCTTTACAGGTGATATTTGGCATGCAAGCCAAGAGCATTATTATACAAGATAACTAGCAGGAGGTGCCCTTGTATAAAAAATCTTGGTGGAGAAGAGGACTCTGTAAACACCTCTCTTTTTTTGTCGATGAAGCTCTTAGGTTATACTTCTTTGAAGATACTGGGGAACAACAAAATATTCTGTTACTTTCTTCAAGCCGCACTTTTTTTACTTGGTCAAGTAGTACCTTTTTACTCTCTTTCATCCTTTTGTCGGTCTTCCAAAAATTTCAACAAAAAGTGGAAATTTGGCTTACCCCTTCAAAAAATTGGCATTGTTTACTTCCCAAATTCAGACGGATTAGCAGAATGCAACAACGTGTTTGTTTACGAACAAATACGGTGCTTTTTTATAGGACTTAGCCTGGGAACTCTAATTACGGCAGCAGGTGGCTTGAGACACAAGTCCTTGGATGATGGTAGCACCTGACTCGAGATATGAATTAGGATAGGCAACGAAGATATTCGGAGTTGGTGAGAAGGTCAGAAAGTAAATTTACTTTTAAGGTATAGCTTTATAATAAAGATATACAAATATTGTATTTGTTATATAATTTTTATCAGCCATGCATGGGTTATAATAGTGCCTTCAGAGTTTTAGATTTCTTTTTATGTTTTTTCTTTTTTGCAATTAGTATTTCTTTTTTTTTCTGTTTTTTCTTTTTTTCTGGTTATTTTCATTACTGTTTGTTTGAAAATTTTCCCCTTTTGTCTCGTGCTCCTTAAGAAGAAGGAAGAATTAGAAGGGAAAAAAAAGATTCTAATGTGGTATATAATATTCAGTCAAATGATCGAGGAGGGTATCCTTGTCGATATAAATCTGAAGCGAGTTTTGGATCCTTTTGTGAGGCTAATAGTTGTTTTAGCAGGTCGCATTGGGCAGTACTTAGTACGCTTGGTGAGTTTCTATTAGAATAAAGCATTACACTATGTCGGTAGTTACTTATATAATAATTATATAGTAGTTCATAAAATAAATAAAAACAAGATCGCTTAAATTCAAAAAAAAATTAAATGCAAAAATATATACGTACAGTATTTAAAATTTAAAGAAAGATTTATATGTATATTTTTAAATAATTAAATTTAAATAACTTTTGTAAAGATTTATATATATAATTTTAAAATATGCATCTGCACAGCTGTGTACCTCTTTATGTTTTTTAGACTAACCCTGTGGTACTCTCAAAATTTTACTAAGATAATCTCTGTTGTATTTTTAATAAAAAATGCACCTCTTGCAAAGTTATTTTAGATTTTAATTTTAAATTAGTCCTAACCCTAACTTTAATTTAACTTTAACCTCTAACTCTTTAACTCTAATCTAACAATTCTAACCCTAATCCTAATTATTGTTTATATATTACTATAGGATGCATAGCTATGCAAAGTACACAAAATTAATTAATCCTAAAATTAAATAAATCAACTTATTTGATTTATAAGTAATAGTACTTATTAGAACAAGAACATGTTTTATGATTATTAGAGATTTACAATATTAGTACATACAAAATACAGTATTTTAAACTACAGTGCGGGAATTTTTAAACCAACATATAAAAATATATAATCTTTAAAAAGTTATAAACAAAATACCAAAATACACTGACAATCATAAGTAGTACAACAAAAAAAAAATTTCTTTTAGATTGCAATATTTTATGCAATTTTGGGTTTATCTTTTCAATTTTTTTTTTATTTTATTCGCAAATAGTTTCCTTTTAAATAGTAAAATTTTAGTAGTTGTTATTTTACCATGTAAAGGTATTTTGTGTATTTATTACAAATTATGTGTTGCATTAGTTTTGTTTATTTTTGGAAAAGATCAGATGATACTTACTATATTATATAAATATATTGTAGAATAGAAATTCATTGTAATTCTTGCAATCTATATACTATGATAAAACATCTGATAAAATTTTAATGAAAAAGAAAATCATACAAATATAGTTAAAACAAGCCCAAGTTTCTTCTTTGCTGTAAAAGTGGAATACACAAAGGTGATAGGTTGGATGCATAATATTTGTTTCTTTGTGACCTTTTATACCAATAAAAAATACTAAAATATTATGCTTGTAAAGAGTTGGTGAGAGTTTGTTGCTTACCTGCTAGGAGGACCCCAGATATTTATGATATAGGTCATATTTTTTTTTTAGCAAATTTCAGAAAATTTGGGTAGAGGTCCAAATTTGAGTTTTAGTAAATTGATATCAATTTTAAAATAAGTCATAATTGACTATTTTGTTGAATTACATAAATTTTATACATGTTATATTTTATTTTTTAGCAAATTACCTACATTTTGGAAGAATTATACTCAAGAATAAGCTACTTTTTTTTAAACTACTATGATTTTTCAAAATTCAAAAAAAGATGCTTAATTTTTGATTTTTTGATCAGAACTCCCAAGATTATGCATATTTTCTTGAATTTTTAAGAAATATAAAATTAAAAATACCAACATAATGTATTTTTGTGTACTGAACAAGTTTACGTAGAGCATAAAGTTAGAATAAATTAGTAAAAATTTGATAATCATAGCATTTTTTAGTATTTTTATTAATAAAATTGTATAAAATATTAAGATTCTCAAAAGTTTACTAATTGATTCTAACCATATGCTCTAATAAACCTTGTTTAGCACACAAAAATACATTATTCCGACATATTTAATTTTATATTTCCTGAAAATTTAAGAGAAGATGCTTAATTTTGGATATTTTAATCAAAATATCCAAAATTAAGCATTTTCTCTTAAATTTTCAGGAAATATAAAATTAAATATGCCGGGATAATGTGTTTTTGTGTGCTGAACAAGTTTACTTAGAGCATATAGTTAGAATCAATTAGTATAATTTGAGAATATTAATATTTTATATAATTTTATTAATAAAAATACCGAAAAATGCTATAATTATCAAATTTTTACTAATTGATTCTAACTATATGCTCTAAGTAAACTTGTTCAGTACACAAAAATACATTATTTTGACATATTTAATTAAAAATAGATGTGATAATTAAATTTTTAGCAAATTAGGCTAATCTATAACTATATACTAAAAAAATATGTGTGTAATGATAACGTTTAGATTATTAATATAAATAATTCACTTAAATTGTATAACATTAAAAATCTGCTATTCTGATTTGTTAATAAATTCTTTAAATTTATACAAAAAGTTATTAAGTAAAGATATCTTCAAGCTTTAAGTAAAAATATCTTCAAATAGTATTCTGCACGGATCGAATCGGACGGATCTTTTTAAAGATCCAGATCCAATCCAAAAAAACGAATCAAATCCAAGTCCAGATTCGGATCTGAGTAAAAAAGATCCAGATCCAGATCTGGATCTGATAAAAAATTGTACTCTATCAAATAGATACTATATTTCTTAAAGTATGTACCTATTTATATAATTGCTTTAATATTTTTTTAACTTGATATTTATATCTTCAAATCGTCAATAATTTATTAAATTTCTCTTATTTCAAAATAACAAACAT